TGCAGGCTCCTGGTCCCTGGCCCCTGCCCTGGCTCAAATTCCCCACCTTGGAGCAAGGGCTGCACCCTCCCCAGGACCAGAACTGCCCCCTGGGCAGTGCCAGGGGTCTGGACATCTCCTGCACAGCCAGGAGGTAGGTTGCCTGGGGACAGGGGACCTGGGCACCAAGGATGCCACATGCGCAGGGGGAAGCTGCTGAGCTGCCAGCAGCCACTGCGGGTCACTGTCACTTCACACAGGACCGTCATTTGTCCATCCGACCATCCATCCATCCATCCATCCATCCATCCCCATGCTCCTCTCTCCCATCATCTGCTTCCCCTGTCCACCCCTGTGTCCCACAAGCATTGTATCTGTCCCCCTGCCCGGGTTGCTGCCCCATGGCAAGCATCACCCAGCCCTGTGAGGTGTGACAGCCCCACACCAAGGCTTACCTGTTCCATCCTTCGCTGACCGGCTGCCGGAGGTGACCCAGGGCTTCTTGGAGGCTGCTACCCCTCAGCAGCTCCCACCCCCAACAGCAAGTCCCAGGGTCAGGCTGCCCTCCCTGCCACCCCCAGGCAGGGACAGGGAGAAGAGAGGAAGGGACAGGAGGACGTGGGGTAGGAGGGAAACACCACGGACTACCTGGGGATGGGGTATCCCAGCCCTGCAGCCCTACATGCACTGGGGTGGTGAAGCAGGGGTGTCCTCCCTGGGCTCAGGGGGCTGTGGAGAGGCTGGGCATTGTAGGGCTGGTCCCTCTGCCTGCATGGCTATCCTAGCATCCCCAAGTGGTGGCCCAGAAAGCATATAGGGTCTTCCAGGACCCCCTGGCATCCTGAGGACAAGGACAGTGTGCTTGCTTATGGGGCACAGGGCTTAACCTGGGCCTTCTACGGAGATGTCTGTTGTCATCTTGCTACCAGGGGTTGGTTTGAGCTCAGCCAGAGTGAGCAGAGTCCCAGAAAGGGCCTAAGAGGGGTTTACGCCCCCCGGGCCCGCCCATGCTCCCTGAAGCCCTGCCCGCCTCCCGATAGCACAGCCCGGGCCCCATAGCACAGCGCGGCCCAAACCCCCAGAGCCCAGGCCACCTCGGGTCCCGGCGGGCCCAAGACCGGCCCGGTCCCGGCGGCTCAGCCCCACAAGGCCCTGGTTCGCGTTGCCATGGAGACCGGACGCGGCGTCGGCGTCTCCCGGAACAACGACGGCGGCCGCCTGGGGTCAATCCGCGCGCGGGGAGCGACGGGAGGGGGAAGCCTGCCGGCGGCGGCCGCCAGGGGGCAGCAGAGGGACGCGCAGAGCTGGGGGCCGGGGTGGGGGGCACAAGCGAAGGGGAGCAGGGGACAAATGGGGGGGACAGGGGGCAAGTGAAAGGGTGCAGAGGGCAGATGGAGGGGTGCAGAGGGCAGATGGGGGAGCTCAGGGGGTGGAGAGTCAAGATGGAGGGGTGCAGGAAGCAGGTGGGGAGTTCTCAGGGGTGCAGAGGGGGCAGACGGAGGGGCTCGGGGGGTGGGATCAAGATGGAGGGGTGAAGGATGCAGATGGAGGGGCTTACGGGGCAAATGGGGGTGGGCAGAGGGCAGATGGAGGGGCGCAGGGGATACAGGAGCAAGATGTAGGGTTGCAGGATGCAGATGGAGGGGTGCAAGAGGCAGGTGGGGAGTTCTCAGGGGCAGACGGAGGGGCTCAGGGCGTGTGGGATCAAGACAGAGGGGTTCAGAGGGCAGATGGAGGGGCTCAGGGGGTACAGGATCAAGATAGAGGGGTGAAGAATGCAGAAGGAGGGGTGCAGGGGGTAAGTGGTGCATTCTCTGTGGTGCAGAGGGGGTAAATGGAGGGGCTTATGGGATGCAGGGGCAAATCGGGGTGGGCAGAGGGCAGATAGAGGGGCTATGGGGACACAGGGGCAAGATGGAGGTGCAGGAGGCAGGTTTGGTTTTCTCAGTGGTGCAGAGAGGGCAGATGGAGGGGCTCAAGGGATGCAGGGTTAAGAGGGAGGCGTGCAGGGGGCAGATGAAGGGGTGCAGGGGTAAGGGTGGATGGGGACCAGGAGGAGATGGGGTAGTTTAGGGGCAGGGAAATGGAGGGGGGCAGGTGGAAGACAGAGGGGTGCAGGGGATGCAGGGGTGCAGGAGAGAGCTCAGGGAAGAGGAGTGATGAGGGTGGATGCAGGGGAGACAGACAGACACAAAGCTTCCTGGGCAGAAGGGGTGCTGTGAAGTTCGTGGGTGCACAGGATGGGTGAGTGAGGAGGCTGTGGGGGTAAGAGGTGGGGTTGCTGAGGAGGATGAGCAGGCATGTGGTGCAGCAGGCTGGAGAGTGCTGGCAGAGGGATGGGGTGGCACCTTAATGGGGCCAGGTCACCCTGAGCTCCTTGGAGCATAGGTGACACAAATAACAAGTTGTGATCGTTGCCAAAAGTGGTTATGGTGTCAAGACCAGCAAAGGGGCAGAGAGACAGAGGCTGGGGAGCACAAGCCCATCAGATATCCCAGGTATCATTCCTGTGGGGCACCACCACCACTGTGGGTCACTCCTTCATCTTCCCAGTTCCCTGGATGTCCCTCAGGGATTGGAGGACCCACATGTCCCTGGTACAGAGGACCAGATAGCCCCTCTGGGGTGCACAGGCAGCAGTGTGGCAGAAAGCAGGGCTGGCCACATCCCGCAGCGTGGGGAGGGTGCCAGGGCAGAGGCAGGAAGGAGATGCAGCTTTAATGGCATTTGTCAATGTTTACAACATGAGTCATCCAGCTAAGCAGCCATAAATCAGCACCCCAACTCCTCCGGCATCAACCGCGTCCCCTCCTCTGTCCCCCCAGCACTGGATGAGTGCCTGGCTCCTGCAGAAACAACATCATAAATAACAGCAACAAAACAAACCCTCTTGCAGGCAGGGAGGGCCTATGTGCGCCAGGCGAGAGATGAACGCCTCCCATCCATCACTTTAATGGTTGTACTCTGGAAATTAAACCTGTCATGGCCCATCAAGGTGAACGTTTTAAGCCTGTGACATCCCTTCAGCTACCCTCCTCCTTCCTGGCACTCTTATTTTTGTTGCTTTCCTTCTCTCCTTTTCCTCTCTGCCCCTGCCACCCCTGTCCTCCCCATCTCACCCCTGCTCTGGTGTGCCCAGCTCCAGCCTGTGGTCCTCTCGTGCTCCCCTGCTGCCAGAAGGACCAAGCTGTACATTGGGTGGTAGATGTTTTTAACCCCGTGGCTCCTGCAGCCATGGGCTGGCACCTGCCAGCATCTCAGAGCCTGGTCCTGCGTTCCTGCTGGGGGGACACAGCTCCCCTGGGGCAATAGGTCTCTCCTGCCCCACTGGTCCCACAGGGCAATGACAAGGAATTGGGCACCATCCTTTCCTAATTCCCCCTGCCTCTCTCCTTTCCTTCCTTGCCCTTCCCCCGCCCCC